TCATTTCTTCAATTTTTTTGATAAATGACTTGTCTTATATGGTAAAGTAACTCAGAGGTGGAGGTTTTGCACTCCTATTTTTGCTAGTAGCATAGAGTTGATAATCCTCTCTCTCTTCCTCTCCTCTTCCTTTCCTCTTCTTCGTTTGTGATATAAGTACTGTGGACTGAATTATCAGGTAATGCAAAGAGTGTCGGAGTATAGCTGATTGTGTGATAAATCAAGATATATATTATATATTCGGGCCCCATCTTGTGCCATCCTAGAAGTTGAGTATCCTAAATCGGTCCACAGACCATTTGAGCGAGGAGACCCGAATGGAAATGGTTTACGACAGAAGGAGCCAACTGAACAATCACACGGTGGATTAAAGAGTGGGCCCGACCTTGAGCCCAAAAGGCAGGATATAAATAGAGGAACATCATCCCAAAGAAGGTATGTGGATAACGCCAAGAAACTTGAGACATAATGCCAAACGTAGACAAGTACTGCCTTGTTGGTCGAAGTGCTAATTCTGGCCCCCCGACCGGAGTGTAATTCCTTTAGGGGGGTGGCAATCAAGAGGATGAGGAACGCCTTCAGGATTTAAGAGTAATTTCCCACAAACCACATTACCATAATTTGCGCTCGTCTATAAGAATATACTCAATACATCCATGTGCGGCGCATGAAACGGAAAGATCCTCCAATAGTCGCTGACGGAAACTACACAGAGAGATGAACCTCGACACCAAGAAACATTGCGGGACATGGAGAATATTTCGCCGCGGACGTGCCTTGAACTTTGACTCAATAGCTCAGACATCACCATCAACTTCAATACATTGAGACCAATGCATCGACGATCATGGTCAGGCAAAGCAAAATGAAACAGCGGCTTAGAACGTGCTGGCTGAGAATGAGCGCCTGCACCAGGATTGGTCTGTGAGGGTGGTGAAATCCCGATACAAGCCGCATGCCAAGAACGCGGTCGACCTCGGAACAGAAGGATGGTCCGCGCGACGTCGACCTTCTGAAACGTAATAGGTGAATTTGATTCAGACTCCCATCCCCGAAGCCCAAAAAGAAAGGACATGTTGATATATCCAGCTCATTGAGAGAAGTTCCATATGTACACATAGAACGAAGGAAAAGTGATGATTTTCGGCAAATGAGGAAGATAAACACAAACCCCATTCGATGCGACGAATCGCCAGGGCTTATGCTTACCCAAAGTTCAAGGCACCGTCGTTCACCGTCTACAAAGAAAATCAAACCCACTTGTCACATGCATCATTACAAGCACAGCAACGACGGCTTATGCTCGACGCGAAGCCCTCATGTCGTGTATTTAAAAAGTCTAGGCACCACTGGCCAGATGAGGTGTACTATAAATTGGAGCCGGCATCAATTAAAAGCTACTCCCACCAACTCTAAAAGTCATCAAAAGCAAATTTCATTGGCCAATGAGGTCCAGCGAAGCAAAGCCGACGCTCCTTACCATGCAATAAACCGAAGATACTCTTTCGGAAATAGTCGCCCCGCTAGTGGGAATGCATTTAATCTGGGTGATAGTGCTTACATGATTCCATGGCCGTCGCCGCCCTTTAAGATGGGATTTGCATCCCGACTGCCCCTCACAGTTTCATGGACAGGCGTCCCCCTCAACAACCGTCTGCGCATTAGTGAAGAAGGTTGAAGAATACTTGCAAAGTGGAAGATGATGTCTTTCGAGTCAAAGCCAGACGTGAAAGCTGTTGGAGACGGCCACGTCGGGAGATTGTTAAGGCCGATTAGCCCTGTGCCTCAAAGAAGCCCCCGAATGCAGAATCGACCCAAATGAGACAAAATGCATGATTCGCGCGTAAGTTCAAACAGACCAATGTTCACGAACGAGGTAATGACAATAACAAGTGGGATAACAGGTCGCAGAAGGCATCCGCGGAAAGAAATATCACGGAGCTTGACAAGCGAATCAATAAGATTTCTGTCGAAAATACCAACACTTCCATTCTTCAAAGTGGCCGCCCAAGATGACGGGGCCCCTCGATGCAAGAAGACAAGATAAACGTGTGGTGATCATACATAAAGACCATGGTCACGAACCGTAGTTGTTTTTCTGGTTTAAGATCAAACCTGGAAGAATTGGTGCAAGACGTGCCGTCTTAACACAATACTCCGAAAGACAATTCAACAAATACAGTAGCTCTACGGCCCGGACGTCACCCCCTCTTGGTGTAATTCCATATGCATATATAGCTGCCAGGCACCAGTAGGTGCACACAATCCAGTTGCCATCTAGCCCACATACTCCATGACACTAGCAAAACGGCCACACGACAATCTAGAAGGATTAGTTTCGATGACCAGTGATTTAGTTGGAGTGACCGCACACCACAGCTAATCCCTCGTCATCGTGCTACATGAAAATAGATTCAGCATTTGGAGCATGTCCTCATGGACCAGGCAAGCACTTCGGAGATTTATGTATTACAAAACTTTTGTCAAATGGTGTTTATCCGCATTCGGAACGCTGTCCTTCGGCTGATTACCCGTTATCAGCTTCAAATGCT